TAAACTACGTATTGAGCCCTGTGTATTTTTCCCATTGTTTTGTAAATTGCTGTATTAAAATTCCCCTTTTTTTTTTAAATTTTTTTTTTTGGTTTTAAAAAATGCTGAAATTGAGTCCGCGTATTCCCTCCAACTTTTGGTCTAAAACTGCTGTAAGATTTCCCTGCGTTTTCCCTCCTCTCTTGTTGGTCTGAAAAACCCCCTGTTTTGAGCCCTGCTTTTGCCCCATCTGTTGGTCTAAAAAATGCTGTATTATGTTCCGGGTTTTTATTGCCCCATATTTATTGGTCCCTGTGAAATTGCTTCATTTTTTTGAAAAACTGCTGATTGGGGGCCTATGTATTACTCCACTGTCTCTCCTAGCTAACCCGGGCCAGGGCCCATTTGGCCCTATGAAACGAAAAAAAATTTAAGGCCCCCGTTTTTTTTGGGTGTGGACATACCCGGGGAAAAGGAAAAAAGGGAAAAAATAATTTGAATTAATTTTAAAAATTTAAAAAATTTTCTATCTTTAAATGCTGTATTTTTGGTTTTACCTTTAAACATGTTCCCCCCAAACAAATTCTGCCCCAGCTTCCCTTTTTTATTCCCCCCCAAGGTGATAGACCCATTTTTTTCAAAGAGGATGAAGTCACAGAGCCCACACAATGCTGAATCCCCTAACAAACTGTGTGTATATAGTCATTTCCCCTTTTGGGGTTTTTTTTTTCCCATTTTTGAAAGAAAAAATTTGGCATGTTCAGGTTTACTTTAAAAATGACATTCAGAAGGGGGGAAGGGCCCCAAAACATGTTAAAACAATAAAAGGTTTACCATTCCACTGGGTTTTTATTTTTTACTTTTTATTTTATTTTTATCACAAACATTATCGGTTTTTGTCTACAGTAAATTTGTATTTTTTTCCCACAAAAAATTTTTCACATTTTAAAAATGTGGGGAGGGGGGAAATTGGGCAGCAGAGATTTGCCAGAGATTTAAAATTTACTGAGTTTTTTTTTTCTGTTTTTTGTTTAAAATCTTTTTTTTTTTTTTTTCTGTGCAATAAAAAAGATTTTCTTCCCAAGAAGAATTATGCATGCCCAAAATTTAAAGATTATGAAATGTCCCAGGATGTTATGGTCTAGTTATTGTCATCCTGGAATGTTATCGCTTTGCAGCGCTAATTCTGTAATGTTGGAGAAAGACACTCTCATGTTTAGTGCAGTAGTGAAGCCCTTAATATCAGACACTGGAGAAAACCTCAACATAATCTGTGCAGTATCCATAGACAAAACTTTCATAATTATTATGAGAATCCTACCCAAAATCTAGCCTCACTGGTTTTTGTTGAGTTAAAAAAAATCCTTGTTGTTAATAAAAAAAGGAAGAAACATGCAGCACTAATATTAAAAGTTTGCCTTGTCATTTTCAAAGTCTTGTTTTATATTGTCCAGTAATGAGGTTTTGAAAATATATCAACTGCGACCATGGCAAGAATCTGCCTGAGCAATGGTAGATGGCTGTAGTGCCTTCGGGTGAGCCTGGAATTTCAATGAAAACTCATGTGAATGTTTTAAGTCATAAATATTCTTTCATTTCACATGTTCTGTGTAATTGATTTGATTTATCCGTTCAACCTGCCTGAACGTAAAGGACCCTTTTCCACACACTTAGGCATAGGGCAAACCTATATTTTATAGACAAATCTGCATTATGTTGGTGATGTGGTCAGCATCACACCAGTCGCCTTTACTTCCCAGGACATTACCTGTCACCCATTTTAGGCTGTAAGCCAAGATCATGTTTGAAAAAAATCTGGCTTTGTATAGATTTAAACTCCCCTTTAGGCCCACAGGCGAGTGACTAGCCACTACACCACAGCGGCTCATAGCTGTAGTGTTATAATGTAATGAAAGAACTCTTTTCACACCAGATTTTTTAGACAGTTCAGTACTCAGTGGGTGATGTAGTTGACATCATACCAGCCACCTTTACCTCCCAAATATTCACTTGTACACATTTTAAGCTGGTTAAACATGGGAGTCAGGACAAATTATTACTAAACTATTCATGTTAATGTGGGTTTCAGCTGTTTGGTTCGGTAGAAAAGCATCTAGACACTGCGTTAGCATAGATTTCAGCTATAGTAACGGCTCTAGTTTAAACTTTCTACTTTTTGTATTCATACGCCTGGTCTTGGTTAGACAATGATTTTTCTGTCATGGGCGATCATGAAATGACAACACTGCTCACAGAACATTCCCACACATGCTCTATTTCCTCCTCCATTAGCCAACAAACATTTTCTTGCCACTGCTGATAAGCAAGCAAAATGTTGTCCTTTCATATTTGACAATATTTTTGTTGGTAATTCACAAGAATTATAAAGTCACAGTCGTCAAACTTAATAGCAGTATCTTTACCTTCACTTTCTGATAAAAAAAAATTAGGAAAATCATCCATAGCACAAGAAGAATTCCTCAAAATGCTGTCATTGCGCCGGCTCTGAGGATCGGCCACCATTATCAAACATCTGCCTAACGCATCTAAATGGGAGTCTATGAAGGTTTTCAGATAATAGAAGAGACACTTGCAGCCGCACTAGACTTAGCGGATGTGTACAACAGAGTACCATCTGAATACTTGGTGCGCATACTTCTCCAACTGGAAGTATCTCCCTTTATCACTCGCTGGGTAGCTGCAGCACTGTTTCAGAGACAGGTGATACTCAGGTGTGGGTGTTGGTCCTCAGAGCTGATAACCATTAGTTCAGGATTGCCTCAAGGTTCTCCGCTGTCTCCAGTTCCATTCAACAGTGCTGATAACTGGGAGCAGCTGCATGGGAGTGGCATGACTTAGTCATTTGCTGATGATGTCTTGGTATACCAACATGGAAGAGATCATCAAGAGATTGCCAATTCAATGCAGAGTGAACTTGATCGCATCTCTACCTGGTGTGTAGATTCTAATGCACATGTCAGCTCTTCAAAGGCCTCAGTTATGTGGTTCTCCTTGAACACGCATATAGTGAAGGCAGACTTACCAGCAGTGGAAAGCAGCACACAAATGTTGATGAGAACAAAGATGATGACATAGGAGTGAGGTTTGATTGCAGCCTGTCCTACAAAGAGCATTTTGACCATGTTATAACAAAAGCATGCAAAGGCCTATCAGCAATGAGGGTCCTAGCAGCCGATAATACCGAGCAGAGACTGTATCTGCTTCTGTTCCAGGGATTTGTTATTTCTCCCATCGAATATGCTCTAGCCAATCTCACTGTCAGCCATTCTCAGACTGAAAGACTGCATTAATTGCAGATGGCGACCCATGAATTATGCAGACATTGTCAATGCCCTGAGAGAGAGAGAGGATGTTAAGAGAATTTCAGAAGCAACTGCTAAGAATACAAGAATTGGGAGTAAAGATCGGATAAATCAAGCATGAGAAGCACACTGGACGTATATGAAGTCTCGTCAGCCAACATAGAACTGGCGCTATTACCCGTGTGACGCTAATGAGTATGTTAAAGGGGAAATCTGAGCACCTATGGATGTGTCCGGAGTGCAGTGAAGATAATCCAACTAATAACATGGGAGCTCACTAAACAAATTTGTGAAAAATTTACTTCAAGAACTATAGAACTCACTAAACAAATTTGTGAAAAATTTACTTCAAGAACTATAGAACTCACTAAACAAATTTGTGAAAAATTTACTTTAAGAACTATAGAACTCACTAAACAAATTTGTGAAAAATTTACTTCAAGAACTATAGAACTCACTAAACAAATTTGTGAAAAATTTACTTTAAGAACTATAGAACTCACTAAACAAATTTGTGAAAAATTTACTTCAAGAACTATAGAACTCACTAAACAAATTTGTGAAAAATTTACTTAAAATATTATAGAACTGTTTTCCTTAAGAAAGAAACATAGAGAAATGAATGGACTAATGGCTTCGAGCTACATCTTGTTGAAAACGTTGTGATTCTACCATGACGGGAAGCATCCAAAGTTACGATCACAGGGAGTGTGATTAAAGCAGCCAAGTGTAAATCTCAGCTGATCGCGTAACATGTGATGGTAGTAGTCATTGTGTTAAATATGGATAATATTTGTCTGTTTAGTAGCGGCTATCTGTTCAGTAATGTAATCACTGTGTAATTTTTCTGGTTTAAAAAATTCAATAAAATCATCAACAAAGAAACAGAATATTGTGTTTATAGATCAGGAAAAAGCTTTTGATAGAGTGGAAAGAAACAAACTGTGGTCTGTTCTTGAGAACTACGGGGTACAAGGACAGTTACTAGAGAACATCATAGCCATGTACCACACAAGCCAAAGTGCAGTAAAAACACAAGAAGGCATATCAGATATGTTCACAGTCAACACAGGTGTGAGACAGGGATGTGTGCTCTCCCCACTTTTATTTAACATCTATATAGGCAGAATATCTAAAGAAGCAAGTTATGATACAGACAACATCGACCTTTATAATCACGAGGAAGTACACACATCAGGAGAAGTAATCGATTCACCCACATTAAACGAACTACTGTTTGCTGACGACCAGTGCTTGTTCTACCATGAAGAACATAGACTGCAAGACCACATTAACAGGTTAAACTCAGCAAGTAGTAAATACAACATGAAGATCAATGTAAACAAAACCGAAACAATGCAAGTTAGTAGACATTCTGCCCCACTACACATACAGCTGAATGGTTCTGCCCTGAATCAAGTAAGATAGTTTAAATATCTAGGAAGTATGATCACAGAAGATGGTAGAATTGACAGAGAAATAGAAACCAGATGTCAGAAAGCAAGTGCACTTATATACCAATTGTCACCATTATTAAGACATCCAAGCATAACTATGAGTGCAAAGAGACAGATTATTAATAGCATGTTTATTCCAACATTAAGCTACCAGTGCCAAACATGGACACTATCTAAAGCCCATATACGCAAAATTACCACCTGCGAGATGAGGTGCCTGAGAAAAGCAGCCAACCTAACCATACGAGATCGAGTGAATAATGAAACTATCAGGCAAATTGTGGGAACGACACCTTGTACTAGATTCATTGAGAAACAGCAGATCAAGTGGTTTGGCCATCTTGTTAGAATGCAGCAAGATCAAATACCATCACAAGCACTACATCTCAGAAGATCAACTACAAGAGCAAGAGGACGGTCACGGAAAACATGGATCGACAACATTAAATACACTCTACGCCTTCATGGCATGACAATAGCCAGTGGCAGCCAACGTGCACTGGAACGCAAATTATTCCGCCCAACGACGCTTAACAGCAGAAGTGGTTTATGATGATGATGATGATGATGATCAACAAAGAAAGCTAGTGAAAACAACATTCTAGAAAATGGATAATATTGTGCTCAGAATATTATAAGCATTATTGAGGCAATTGGAATTACTGGACTTACCAACTGCTGCAGTGAATTCCCTTGTGTGATTGAAAGCTTCTGTCCCACACTGGTAGGTAGGGTGGAGACAAGGCAGCTTATGGCTTAGATTCCCCATATCAGTGGAACCCAGCACCTTGACAAGCAATCAGATTACATTATCAATGGAATCAAAGTCTTAATAAGTTAACATCAATTGTTAGTTAATCTCTGGAACTTAGTGAGAGAACAGACAAAAATTGTTAGTTGAACTCTGGAACTTAGTGAGAGAACAAACATTAATTGTTAGTTGAACTCTGGAACTTAGTGAGAGAACAAGCATAAATTATAAATTAAACTCTGGAACTTAGTGGGAGAACAGTTATCAATATAACTCTGGAATTTGGTAAGATAACAGTATAAATTACATGTGAAACTCCCGATCTTGATGAAAGAACATTATAAATTATCAATGGGAAACTTATTTAATGATGATTTCATTATGAAAAAATTTGGCTACACTGAAGTCAGATGGAAGGTCTATTAAAGATGAATAAACATACACACACAAAATGATCCTAATAAAATAAAAATTTGCAACCATTGAAAGTTAGAAATGGAAAAAAAAAATTACAGACCTACTGCCACCACCATGCATGTTGCAGAAGGCAACTAATTATGGGTTTGCTAAAGTTGGAAGAACTTATCACAATAGTGTCCGCATGGTAAGAGTTACTTCCCATCCCATTCATGCCACGGGCGGTAACACGGACTGTACTATGTTGTGGGTTTGTTATGACATGGCTTCGTTCACCATATACAATGTTTGTGGGAGGTTGTGTTGTCGTGAGTCTCTTTGAGGTGCCACAAGCGCCTGTGTACAAGTAAGAAGTACTTAGGGGGAAGCACCATAGGCGTGACGGTTCATGTTGAAACTAGGATATTTTTGTATTTCCACTTTCCTTAGCAGCAGCTTCCTCCCAGAGAAAGAAGCAACCGCCAAGGAAAGTAGAAACACAAAAATATCCCACGAACTGTCGCACAAGTAGTACAAGGTACCAATAATCTCGCAAGTCATGGTGACAATATGAGAAAAGAGAGAAAAGTAAAACCTCTGAAAAAAAGGAATATGTGACACCCCTGCAATAAAGGACGGGCCGTGTGACAGTAAAAAACTTGGGCTGCGTGGACATTATCGTGATAAGAACCAATTTTGATGTAATAAGCTGAAAGGTGCATATACCCCAGCCTTGCTGTAAGTCACAACACAGTTTGCTAGCAGCACTTAAAGAGCAAGCACGGAAGAAGAAAGAAAAGGAAATCTTGAACACTTAAAGCTATTTCAACATATGTTTGTGATGGTAACAGACAAAATATAAGACATGTTTGGATTCTTAAGTATGCAGCATTGATGGATGAATTCTATGTGTTTACAGCTGGTGTGTTACTAGAATGATCAAAATGAATGTCTGAAATTTTCTGAGAGATGGAACACCTACGGGTTTGCCCAGAGCAATATATACCAATTTTAAAAATTAAGAACCAAGACAAATGACATTCGTAGGGCATATGAACAGACAGGGTGGAATAGAAATGTTAGCATTCAATGAGAAAACGCTAGACAAAAGTAGGATATTATGGCGGGACTTTTCCCAAAAATGAATGTGTACTCAAAAGGGCAGGAATTCCCATAATGAAGTGAAGATGCCTGCGCTGGTTGGGACATTTCTCTCACTCGCATGGAGTACGGTCTCATCCCAAAGAATATCCTGTATGGTGAACTGGATGTTGAATTAAGAATTGACATCACAGCACTTGGGACACTCCCATTAGCGTTCCATCCCCATCTTCAGCAGCAAGCAAAGAGTTCCAATTCTGATGACACCAGTAACTGTCTGATTGTATATCCTTCTCACCTTTACCATGAATGTTGAGCGTCACCCAGATCCCATGGGAACTCCTCGCAGTGCCATTCTCCTCAGACCGTAATGATCTATCAGCCTCCTCACTGTTCACTCGCTTCCAAAGGGCCCTCACAACATCTAACTTGTCGTACATCAATTCAATACGAAGTGGTGCAGAACCTGCCAGTCTGTCTGTCTGCTCATTTCCCAACACAACAGCGTAACCTCTGAAGTGATGCTTGTCACTCTGCACGGAGCATGCCTGTCTCCACCTTTCTCAACATGCTCTGGGAGTCAGTAACAATTATGCCACGTGTGTACAGCTGATGCTCAATCCAGCAGAAGGCAGCAGTGACTGTCTCCACCTCCATTCTCAAACTAAATGTCAGGCTTTGTTGCACTAAGCGTCGTCCATTTGCTTTTGCTATGAACCCCCATGCACCTAACCTTGCAGGAACGGTAGTGCTATATTATAAAGACGTGCAAACGTGAAATTAAAGATATCAATTCTGACAAACATTTGGGAGAAATCAGCTGCAGACTGACTCCTTTTGAGGCAGTACAAGGCGGACTGTCACAGTTTGAAAGAAGCCAATCGCAGAAAGTTATACAAAGTAGACGTCTGTGAGAAAACTGGCATCAGAGTTATAGATTATCAACGTTTTTCTGTGGAATATGTAGCAGTGACTTCCACTCCTGCATTGGACTTCACAGTCATAGCACTGTTCCCAAAACCAGAAGCACAACTCAATGGTCCCCATGGACTGACAGTTGCCTACTATTACTAGGTAAAAGAAGAAAGAAAAGACAGAAGGATATACTTAGCTTAAACCTACTGGACAACATAATACATTTAAGAAAAACTAATTTTTGTACAATATATGATAGACGAGCCTGGGGAATCATGCTTGTTACTGTCTGCTTCTATCCTGCAGGCATCTTACGAAAAATTGTGTTAGCCTTCTTCTTCTTCATCCTCTGCATTTGTCTTTTTTGGTTGTAAGCTGTGTTGTAGTTTACAGCTAAGCTGCAATATATGTGCTGTTGGAACCTATACATCTGATTTTAGCAAAACTCTAATTATTTGCCTTTTGTGACATGTGTGTTAGGCGGCAATGAGTACCCCCACCCCCCTTGCCAAAATGATGCCCCTGAACCTACAGGGAGAAGATTCATTGTCAAACAAATTTATGGGAAGCTGATACATACCTTTTTGGTAGTGACTGGCTGGAATTCTTCTCCAATGAGAGCGCCGTTGATTTCATAAAGACCAGCCAATGTCTCATTTGTCACCAGGCTGCTGTATGGTTTCGGAAAATCCACAAAGTCAAGCTGAAATAAATGTATTCTATTAGGTTACTTCAAAGAAATCTTTAATAAATTGAAATTCTCAGTTTATACTTTGGTGAAATCTCCTTCTTGTTCTTATTACTCACTGCAGCACAGATCTTCAGCCAGCTCATGCTAAGTGTGTTGTGAACTTGTTCATCACTACCGTTTGTCTTGTCTGTTGTTAATAATGTTTAAGTTTTTCATTTTTTCAAGGCATGACCGAAAATGTTGACTGTTTCTCTCTATGATTCTTTACTTTGTATCTAGCCCTCTTCAAAATATTTAGATTATTTTTTTCCTGTTCACAGTATTTTTCTGCATTTTGGCCAATGACATATTTAATAATGATGAGCAGTATAGATTTATTGCTAGTTTAAAGTTTACTTCACACTAAATCTGCCAAATTAAAAAAATGCACATGTAACAATTAATTTTTGTGTGCCATGGTGTGGCAGCTAGACACACATTTGCAAATCCAAAGATTGTGGGTTCCAGCCTCTCAGCAGAGCCAAACTTAAAAAAACAAAAAAACAAATTGACACTGGCTCCTAGATTGACCCAGTCTTAAATGGGTCCCTGAGAAGTCAAATCGGCTGGCATCATGTTGAGCATCAGAAACCAAATGCTGACTGGTATTTACAAATGTGCTCTAGCACGATATGCTCAATAAACCTGAAGGCATGGGAAAAGGGTCACTTATGCAACTCGCCATTCTTTCATTTTTTTTAAAGATTAACATCAGTATATATTTCATGATACAATTATTTTCACTGCCTAGCTAGGTAAATCTGAGAGACCTATCGTGTTCACATCTGTTAACATCTTTGAACTGAGATATTGGCTACTTAAACTAGAATGTCTGTTAAGTAATTATGGGCTGGCACTGAGAGAATGAAGAAAAATGTCTACCGTACAGCCTGTGGCTTCAGCTGATGCTCTGAGGCAGGCTTTGACTTTAGCTTCGATTTGGGGAATTTCCGAGTCCCGAGCTGTTCTGATCTGTACCATCATCTCTGTCTCATCGGGAATTATGTTGGTTTTAGTACCACCTTTTGTAATGATAACTGAAATGAAACAGAAGTTTAAAAATGAGAATGTCATAAAGAAGTCAGTTAAGTCTCTTAACATATTTGTCAACTTTCATGTAGTCATTAAATACAGAGAAAAAACTCAATTTATTAAGAAAAAAAAAGTAAATTTTTCAAATGTTTGGCGCATCAGGTGAGACCTATATTAATGTAATCAATCTGAAATAGATGGGTGATGTTGCCAACATCAAACTGGCCACCTTTACTTTCCATGACATTACCTGGTACCCATTATAGGCCGGGTCACCAGGGAGCCAATTCTGAAAACATCATTAGTGGAGATTTAAACCCTAGACACTGGGGCTGGCAGGCAAGCGTATATTCGTTACACTACCCTGGCTCCCAAAATATTAAAAGACTTGAGGAATATTTAATATATGACCTGGAGAAAGTGGAGCAAAAACTTGAAAATTCTTATGAGCGTTTAAAGGTTGAGGAGTAATAAAAAATCATGTAAAATACATTGAATGATGATTTAGTTCAACTTTGGCTTAACTATTTATTTGCTGAAAAATTTCACAAGATGCTACATAGCAGAATAAACCCGGGAAAGCCGGGGCTAAACTGCAGTATGAAAATACTTCACCTATTAAAATGTATGTGCTAAACAATAGAGTTTGAAAATACTTAAAATACACATTTGTGTGGGCATACACTTAGTGTTGTGAGGACTGTTCTGTGTATGGTGCAGTATTTTTCTCTTTGAATATGTACTACTGTTTCAGGATAAACTAATTAGAAATGTGTTATTGACAACAAAACTTATGTAATATCTGGCTACAGGGAGAATATTTAAAAATGATTACAAGCAATAAAATGATATAAAGAGGCTGGAAGAAGTTATAGACCTGCCATCAAACATGCTTGGAAACTTCATCCTTCCAAAATACTGTAGCAGTTAAGAAACTAATATTTTAAATATAAATGTTATATTTTCTAAGAAGCTTGTGGCACAGAGGTTAAGATAAACACTCCTCAAACCATAGGATATGTGTTCTATTCCCTGGTTAGGCTTGAGAGCTTTTGTCTATCATATGTACATGGCAATTGCACGGATAAGCAGCCATTATTTCTCTCCACCCAGAGAAACCTTCCTACAGACACCATCAGTGGTACATATCCGGTATTGCTAGTTTTATTTTTAATCTAAGAAACATATTTTGGATATGCAGAATGGGGCCCATTTTGAGGATCACCAAGGCATCTGTGACATGGAGGTTACGGCCATTAAATCTAGTCACTCCAATGACAGAGTCCGTAAATTGCTTGAAAACCGCTTGACTTTTACCCTTGGCACCAATGTATCGAGGGGACTTAAATGTCAACACAGTTTTACCTATTATCCTCAGTTACGGCCCTTAGAAGTCTCAGGCTATAAATTGTTGGCGGCTTCTATCATACACTTCTCGTCCTTTTTAGGATGAAATTTTTCGTTATTTGAAGCCCTACTCTGGCTTTTGCCAGAGGCGGCAATATAGCCTGGCCATAAATATGGCCTTAAGGCTGAACACGGTTTCTGGGACCTCTCCAAAGTGATCCTCACCCACAGGGTGGCACTTTGTGTCAGGGTGTTTATCGCTTGTGTGATGTCCTGGTGGGGAAGAAAGTCAGTCAGTCAGACATATCTTTCATGTGGAAACCATACACCAAAATAGTTGCTTTTAGGAATTACATCAGTTGAGTAATTTTGTGTATTCAAGTCTGTTCATGTGGTTTTATTGACATATGTAATGTGCTGATGAAGGCTCTGCAGTCGCAATGTTCACTTTCCCTTTGTGTTTTGTTACATTGCAAAGCTCACTGGTCTACTTTTCGTTTGGTTTTATATCTTTTCATGATAGCTATATTTTATCAAACACATTTATCACAATATTCTCACCATGAACCCTCCATGAAGGATGCAGCTGCTGCCGCAAGGCTGCAATGTTCATATAACCCAGCACTGCTGCATCCAGGGCATTGACACCTTCCCAGGGAAACCCAGCTGCGTGTGATGGTTTACCATGGTAGTTCACATAAAATCTGTGAATGTTTCAAAGCATTGAATCAGAAAAAAAAAAAAGGCTTCTAGTAATGCTTTGTAGTGACTTGAATGCAACCAATATTCTCCTTCTGAATGAGTGAAAAAACACTTAATTACAGTGCAGACCGCTTAGGGTGATTGGGATATTGTCTCCTTGGTGTGCTAACTGGTTGCTAGGGGTTTTTCATATGTAAGACATAGATGACATTATGAATGCACACAGCTGATAATGAGTAGACGATATCCAGTTATATTCTTTATTACACTTTCACAGGTGATCTGGTCCAGTCAATGTCTACTATTAGCTAGCAGGTTCAGCAAGATATAATAACATTTATCAAGTACATAATTGACGTCTACTCCCTTCCACACTCGTTACTTTTAGTCCTGTTTCCTTACACATGCAATACACACAATGGTTGATCCAGCACGTTTGATCATAGCGGTTAGACTTCTTGGCCAGTTGGATCTCATCGGCTACCACCTCTGGTTAGGCTGTCATCAAGTTGTCATCTGACTTGTCTTCTCATGGAATAGAATCTCCCTCAAGTCTTCAAATATACAGTGTCACATTCATGCGTTTTTCAGATACGACCTTTTATGCCAGCTGCCAAACACATCCTAACTGATTATACCCTAGTTAACCTTATAACCCTTATTCTGGGTTTTGCGTGCTGGTCTGAGCCCTGTTTGTATATCTTGTGTTTCTACGAGTATTTACATTCTCATGTATTTCTCTCTTATCTCATGTTTACTCTCATATTATTGTTTAGAGAATTACTATGGGGAAAATACCAACATTACAGCGATCTCAGGTGTGGCAAATTTCTGTTGTAAAGAACAATTTCATTATCCCTGCAATTTTTCTTACCCGAACTCTTATCTAGATAAGAATTCGGGCCAAAATGGAGGAAAGGTATGGCAGAATGTTAAGTTTCAAAGTTATTTTTGCTTCCGACAGTGCTTTGCTAATGCAGTTTCCACTTAAGGATTGTAGTCTACGGTTTGGCTGCCTGTGCTACTGAGTTTAGTGCTTGGTTGCAGCCTTGTGAGCTGTAATTTTCCTGTGCAATGCATTTCATTTTGCGCAGCGGTTGTGTTGTGGTCTGTGGTGCTCAATATGGCTGGTAGCCGGTTTACGTGTGAGCTGGTGAAATATCTTAAATATTAATCATACGTGTGTACAGTAACCAGCTTATCATGCCCGACTACTTTCATCAACGACAAAATACATTTTTAGTAATGATTGTTGGCTTTAGTGCCTCTAGCAACCGAAATACGCACTTACTGTGCGCGCATATTTCTGGATTGTTGCGACTAGTTGTTTGTTTACCAGTTTTTCAAATGCGAGAGTGAGTGGCATTTCTTTTGATTTGCAATAGCACTGGAATAGAGCAAGCATGGGGAAACCCGATTGTGGTGATGTTGAAACCTCGACTAAGATTAAGATTATCTGGATAAGAGAAAAAAAAAGTGCAGAAAGTAAAGGCTCTTTTTTTACACCAATGGCGCATCAGGAATTTAGTGCTAGACCTATATTTTTTATATACCATTTGGCTCTTGGTGGGTGATATGGGATATCACTGTACATAGGACATTCCCACGTGTGTTCTGTCCTCTACCTCAGTAGCCAACAGAGTTCCCATATTGATGGTACCAGTTTCTGTCTGATTAAAAGTCTGCCTGTCTTTTCCTCTGTGTTGAAAACTGTCCAGAGTCTGTCTATTCTCTGCTGAATCAGTCCCTATAAGTGTAGACAGGCACTCTGTTGCACTGTCCACTTGATCCTTCACCATAGCTGCTTTATCATAAAGCCTAGAAGGGTGACAGCAGCCCATCCATCAGTCTGCTCATTTCCTACCAAACACACCTGAATATCATGGCAAAAATCCTTGTTGACAATCTAGCTCTCCAACCAGTAGAAAACTGCTTTTACTGCCTCCACCTCCATTCTTGGGCTGGATGTTGTGACATAATATGTGAGGCTCTTTAATATAAGTTTTATTCTGCACATGATTCTTGCTGTGCCAGTTTACACATGTATGCCTTTAAGTCGTCAAGTCTCAATTTGGTGACTTTCAGCTGCCATATTTGAATTGTTTCCATTCAGCAGACAAGACTGAATTTATTCCTTTCTGACATGTCTGGATCTGAACCTTTCATTGAAAAGTTTGAATCTGTGCCTTTGAGCTGCCACTTCTGAATGTGGAACAGCATAAGTTGTGACCATATTTACCTTCTCTGTTTGATTCCTACTCTCTCAGACAAACTGCAATGACACAGTCTGTTTCTGGGAACATAGATTAAAAAAAAAAAAGAGTATTGATCAGCTCTGGTAAACTGATTCAGTGTAAGTAGCCATTCCATGAGTCAGTGACTGCACTCAATTAATTAGCTGTACTTTCAGTACTAATCACCATTATCCTGTAGCAAGTCCTGTGCGGAACACTGCTTTCATCACAGATTGCCTAAAAAAGTATTAAAAAATCAGTGTCCTGCCACCTCTTCCACCTTGTGCACTCCTAAACAAGTTATCTCCCTCATCTTATGCCCATCTTCATGCTGGTTGGCCCCTGTCCCTCTTTCTCTGCACCATTCTGTTCAACCCTTGAGGTTATAATTGGGATATGAAGTGTTCATTAAGTTCTCAAAGTACTGTTCCTGTCTTTAAATACCCACTAAGCAGTGGCTCTCAACCTTCCTAATGCCGTGGCCCTTTTATACAGTTTCCTCATGTTGTGGCAACACCCAAACAATTATTTTCCTTCATAACTTCAATGAATACGTGTTTTCCAATGGTCTTAGGGAACTCTTGTGAAAGGGTCATTCGACCCAAAAAAAGTGTCGCGACTAGCATGTTGAGAAGCACTTCACTAAGGCATATTTTAAAATTGACCAGGGTTCCCAGGTACCTAAGAAAACGGTCAAGGAACTCTACCAGCTGTCAAGAAACTTTAGGAACGTTAGGATACTGACTACATTCCCCATTAAATGATTGGTCTATAAAAAAATAAGACTAACACCATAATCCCAGTATATCTCAAAGAGGCAGAGAAGGGTTGGATTTTGCAGCTAAAGTTTTCTACTAAATAAGATTACGAGTCTCAAATCATCCCTTTCTAGTCAATTTTTTTCAATATGCATTGTAGACAGCAGTGTTTCAACATGTTCTCTGATTTCCTTATGGGCCCGGTAACACACAAACTTCTACTGTTTTTGCTTCTGGTAATGTGATTCTGTTTTTAAGTAACATAACTTTCTGCATTTCCACCAGGAACTAAATCGTTGACAACATGAGGTGGTTCTCAGCTAGTCTGCTGATTGTCCGGCGATTTCAATAATAAATAGAGTTTGTTTTTATTCCATAAATCCACTATTTGAATATATTGTAATTAATCTATGCCAGTGGAAAACATTTTAAATAGCCCTAGAGGATGGTGACCCAGGATGGGCTTCATGGCTACCATAACAGTCATGTGGCACAAGGTAATACCACACTTTGCCCAGTCCTAGACTCATGTAACGACAGCGTACACTGAATCAGCAAATAAGAGCTGACCAAACAATATCCATTTTCAGCTGATAAAAATATACACTCTCCAATTACAAACATGCATGTTTTTTTTTTTTCTTAGCATATCCATTACAAAAATGCACGTTTTTTCTTAGCTTTTAAAAAAATCATACGAGTGACAAAATGAGTGTACAGGTTGAACTGCTTACTTTTTTCCACCTATAAAGACTGGTCTAGCGTCTGTGAAAGGTGCTGGATGTGCCATTATTGCCACATCTACATCATCGAAGACACCAGCATTGATCAGATCAATCTTGCCACCACCTCCTTCTTCTGCTGGTGTTCCAATCACTGACAGCTAGGCAAATGTTTGACAATTAAACCCTAATTTAACAACATTTAAAAAGGCAATATCAAGGTAACAATGGTCATTTTAAAATTTAGCATATAGAATGTAAATATACTAAAGGAGTCAAGATAAATAAATTATCAGTGCTCTGGCTTATCAATGAAGCAGTCAGGTTTAGTCCACAGAGAAAGATCTTTTTTTTTTAGATCAGCATGGCCCGGGCAACATATGCATGTGACTCTCATCACCAGCAACCTCTGGAATGATACAGCCTATTCATATGAAGAAAACCTGACTCACCTTCCTGCGCATGCTTTGCAAATATGATACTATGACGATATGCATGGCTGAGATTTGATACGTCCATGGGAATGCTGATGTTACCACCTTAACCTCCGTTCTCATGCTGGATGTGGTGATGTTGTATGCCAAGCTCTCCTCAGTTATCCTCCCCCCCCCCCCCCCCCCCCCCCATAATTTTGCAATGAAACTCCATCCAATATTTTCTGTCCCAGGCCACCGACCCATAAGTGTATTTAATCACATATCCTGACTTAGAGTTATTCTATATCAGTTGCTGGATCTCTGTCTCCACATCCTGCCACCCAATCCCATTATTCTTGTCCCAAGGTTATTACCATCCTGTACAGTTCTTCTCTCCCCTCTGGTACTTGTATAAATTCTTCTCCTGGTCTATATGTTTAAAAAGTATTATACTAGAAGCTTTAGTTACCTTTCAAATAAAACTACACAAGTATTGTCTCTTCTTCTACCCTTCATCTCACAAGTGGAACACATGCCCTCAGGCAACCCAGACCAAGCCCTTTGTAGATTTGTTCATGATTGGCTGGGTGTATTATTGGCTCAGATATATTATAAGATGAGCTAGCTTGTTTGCTGAAACTGGATGTGCTGAGCAAAAAAAAGAGCAGCCTAGCTGTAAACCACAACGCAACTTGCCAGTTGCCCTTTCAAGAATGAATATAGAAGAAGAAGATAGTTAGTTTTATGTCAGCTCTTTTTAGCTGTCATAATAAGACATGCAGTAGCTCAGAGTTTTACAGCTTCCATTATGAGACCAAGTAAAACACAGGCAATATAAATATTTACCTGAAGAGATTAAAATTTTTCTAAAATTTTTTTTTTTACTTATTACACTTATGAAATAAAAACATCAGCAGGCCCACTAATAGAATCTGCCTATGATGTGATTATCTGCCAGCCAACCTTAAAAGATGATGCTGTGAGAATTTGGTTATCATGTCTTTTCACAGCCTTCTTTTATGTGTACTGCCAGGTTTTTTCCATATGCATGTTCCTTCAAGCTGTGATTCCAAACTGTCTAACATTATCTTCCGTTGTCACCATGCATCTTTTTCATGATGTACTTTAGTTTTCTACACTTGTAATGTACCCAAGGACAGGAAATCTAGTAAACCACAGCACCTCACCACTCAAACTACATGAATAGTAAAGGTAAAACTCAACTTTTCCTAGATCCTCATCTGCTTGATCCAGCACAGCCTTGATCCCAAGTGCTGCAGCCACACCAAGTTCAGCTATAAGATTGTGACCGCAGGCATGGCCAATGTCAGGCAGGGCATCATACTCACACAAGACAGCTATGTGTGGTTTGTGATCTGTAAAATTGCAGACTTGTTCAAAACCAAATCAGTAGCTGAAGGCGATTATGTGCTTATATTTGTAACATGATTTTACAAAGCCATTATATTATCTCTAAAAAGTGTGATTTTAAACGGTTATACTCTCTTAGAATACCTTGGACAGCCAAAAGGAGCAACCAAGATGTTTTGAAAGAGGCGAGAGCCCGAAGACAGCTTATCACAGACATCAGAAGGAGACAGTCATCATTTTGTGACCACTGGAAAGATCTGTGGAAGGAGGGATAGAGGAAGACAATGAGAGAAGATGCTTGACAGTCTTGTTGCATGGCATGGAGGAGTGTCAGCAGACGAACTGATACATGCTGCAGGAGATCGCAGATTATGGAGAGGCATGATCGCCCATGCCAGTCGGCAAGGCACTTGATGATGATGATGATGATACTCTCTGAGAAATGAATTAGCATAAGAAATATGAAAAAAAATAATTAGCATGTCCACAACTAAACAAAAAGAAAAATTAGTTTATAACCTACAATGTAGAACATACATTCACCTATTAAAAATATGTGACTCACACCATGTATGCCTGCCACAAGGCATGGAATGGGGTCATTATTTTATGAAATTAGGCCAGCTAAGAGCTGAGTTATGTAGTTATGAAATTAAAACATTTATCTGAAGTGATGTGGAAAAGGGGGAGGGGGTGATGTCAAGACTACCAGACCTGTAGAAAAGACTAACACAGACTACATTAAAAACTATTCTAAAATAATACTATACAAATGAAAGTAATGAGTAACATTTTTTTTAATCACTTGAAACTAAATCATAACAAAAATCACCTTTCATCTATTTCCCCTGTCGACAAATGTATCTTTTTTGTTTTCTCTAACTCCTTTCAGTTAAAGAGAGCACAACTTATCAAATCACTCCTTTTTTCATTCTTGTCAGTTGAAGAGAGTATACTCCCCATCACATCACTTGTAACAGATAAACAACACTTACCTACCATTGTGTTTCTGTGATTGTTTAGGCCTTTCATACTGGGCCAGGAAGGCTGTTTCCAGTTTATAATGTCGCTGAACAATGAAGCCTCGCTGCTCAAGAAACTGTGTTAATGTTGCATGAGACTTGTGCTCCTCAAATGCTAACTCTTTGTGGTGCCAGATTTCTGTGCTCAGTTCAAAGAGGTGAGCTCTTTCCTTGTCAATGGCATCACAAGCTATTTGTTTCAGTGAGTCCATTCTTATGGGTTAATACTCTGCTAAATAATTTTAAAAAAAAGGATTAATACATTTGCAGATCATATCAGTTATTACTCTAGCAATTTCTAATCAATACTATTATAATTATTTCATGTTCAATAGAAAAAAAATGGTTATCTATTGCTTCTTCTAAACTACTGAACATTGAATGTTGAATTAAGAATTGACATCATAGCACTCTGGCCATCCCCATACTGAACATTACACTGTTTAGTAAGACCATAGGATGTCTAACAAATGTTGGGTTTGGTTTGCAAAGTTTTGTAAAGGATACAGAACTAAAATGTCTTCTTCTTCAGCTGTCTGGTCTAGAGAAGAGACTTGTGATCACGACTCTCTAATCCTGTGTGTCATCTGGTATTTGGAATCAGCTAGTGTTGTTTATATTATTACTTGTTTTCCATGCATTTAAGTTTGTATGTCTGCCTCATGCATTATTTTCTCCCACATAAGGTTAATTTGTCTATGTGTGAGTAACATTCAACCCCACCATGACCGCAAAAATAGTGACTAACACTCGATGACACAAAGTATCACCATTCGGATGAGAATCCCCAAGTGCAAGTCCCAGAAATCCTGTTTAACCATTAGGCTATATTAGGGCCCCCCTGCCACGGCTAGACTAGGGTTTTAAAATAACCACACAAAAAAAAAAAAATGTCCCATTTTGGGACGAATGGTAGTTGCTAATTTGTCTATTCCACCTCTTTCTTTTGTTTATATTTCCTTGGCTTTGTTTAGCACACTATCTGGTTTTATTTCTCTATATTTACTTCTGAAATATAGACTATTCCCTTTCACTGTCTTCATTAGCATCAATATTAATATGTACCTTGTGTTATATAATAAGTGTTTAAAAAAATAACAAATTCACCAGCGATAAGAGCAAATTAACACTCACCAGAATGAAGGTGCTACAGCAGCAGAGCTGTAAGTTACTGAAACATGTTGCCGTTACGAACTTGTATTATAGTTTATATATAGTTATCGTACAACAGATATAACCAGTAGTCACTGTTTCAAACAGTGTTTGATAATGCCTCTGTGACCTGGTTTCAACCCTCCGTATAAGAACCGCCGTCCAAGATTAGAACTTCACTTTACGAACACACCAATTTGCTGTGTTAATTATTTGGACAGAATAACACAGAACAGCGGGCTTACACAATACTATACTGTACGGCTGACTTTGCTTTGAACTCGCGTAAGAATACAATGTATGGGTTTTCTGTAGTAAAATGTGTATTACAAAGCCGTGGCATCGTTTCATTGTAAAATAGAAGGCAAGTGTGTGACCTGCGGCCCTCCAAAACTGAAACGCGGCCCACGATGCGATATGCCCAGTCTGTTCACCATTTATCTATATGCTCACAGCGCATAACATTCTATCCAAATAAAATGGTTAAACCACATATATTGTTGAAATATAATTGTGTTGGTGATCCAGTCGCATTAGGTTGTAACAACCCTACTACATACAGTTTCCAGTCCACTAAATGTAACAGTCAGATCTCACTTTCACTTCCAGTCCAAACAGCTGCAGTACCGACCCCCGTTTCAGAGTTCACGCCAAAGATGGTTCGAAGATCCTTTCATAATTTGTTATCTAAACACGATACGATATCCTACCACGGAGGGGAGTCACGCATACTACAGTAGGCTGCCCCCCCCCCCCCCTTTTTTTTTTAGCCCACAAGGCTTATGAAATAGCTCATAGTGGTATGCCAAATATGACTCAAAATGAGACTAAAAAGCTGAATGGGGGAATAGAAAAGACGCTCAAAAACAGCTAAACTTTTCGACCAAAGTCTTTATCAACGGAGTACCAAATAACAGCAAAAACTGTGACTAGAAAACCCAACGGGCAAGACAACAGAGCATATAGGGGGTCAACATGAAACCAAGAAGTTCGCAAAAAAGGAAAAAGTATAGAATACAAAGACAATAATACGAAACGAAATACGCAAGAAGGTGTACTTTAAAAGAGGGGAAGAAATATGAATGAGCTAAATAAAGAACGAGCAGATAAGTTAAATAAAGTTGTGCTGAATATTGATGCATCCAGGACTAAGAACGCCAAAGCTATGGATAATAGTATTTTCTAATGAAAAGTTGCTGGTTTGATCACCAGAGCAGAATTTAATAACAGTGACTGAGATATCGTTTTCGCCTTGGTGGTCAGAGCTGTTGAAATGGATTGTGATCTTCCATGACGTACGGATATGCTCAGTTGGTCAGAGGATAAATCAGCTAAAACATATACCAGAGGGCTTCAAAGTAAAACATTAAAATTACTATATAAATTACAAAAACCATGTAGTTGTCTTGTAACCTGTCAATATTGGTGTTAAGGATGTCAAGAGTGTTAAGCCCGTAAGAAGGTGCAGAAGAACACGACGGCTTCATAGTGGCAGTTTAAAGATGGTCCCCTACCTTTGACATGAATCAGAGAGGAGTAGCGTTTTCTTTTTTTTTATTAGTGAAAGGGTGAAACCTAGAGACATTTATCAGCAATGAAGGTCCAGTATGTTGATGCATGACTGCCATTCCAGAAGGTGTATGAGTGGAGTTGAAGTTTCGAAACGGCTGCAGTCGATTATGGGATCACTATTCGGTGTGCCTAACCCACTCGTAAACAGTCTGTCACAGAAGTTACGCCGTTTGGAAACTTCTTACTTTTCCACTTCTTATCAAATGTGCTGCTGTTTGCCTATATCCTATTTGATTAGTGTGTACGCGCGCGCGCGTGTGTGTTCGAGTGTGTGCGTGGGTGTGTATAAATTCTTTCTAAATACAGTTTTCATCTTTGATTGACTATGATTTTTAGTATTTTGCATAAGTGAAATGTTAGCCAAACTGGTTTGGATGATTCTACATTGCTGTCTGCCTGTTTTCAGAACAGGAATAACAGTGGGCAACTTCCATGGCTTATGTATATTTTGTTAGATTTTATTTTGTTAAACTTATAAGCTAAGATGTTACTATTACTTTATAGTCGGTAACAATATAATATAATTCGTTTCAATGGGGGGAAATGTTTTGATTCTGTCATGCATGAAGATAGAATGTAAACCCGCTACTTATCACAATAAATGTTGAGTTCATGTAAACGAGACCTGATCCGTCCTGCAGCGACATAATATTTATGTCTCTGGCTAATCAAGCTAATTTAAAAGTTACACATATTATGCTAGTCACGATGAATAGTAATCTGAGTTGACACGCTGCTCTTGTTTTAAATGTTTATATGATTAGAAATATCTTGTCTTTTTCTTCGCATTCACCAGATGTACACTCTGGCGGAAAGTTCTAGTTGTAAAAAAGGTACTGAAAAAAAAAGAAGACTTTAAGTAGGTAGGTGCTTTTCAGGGGGCAAAAAATCGTCACGTTTAACAAGCATCTCCGAAGGGGGAGCTTTAGGTTATAATTGTGACAAAGCTGTATAAAATTGCTTAGCATTGCACGCCACCAATAGCCCTGAACAGGACGCCTGGAGTGTTGATGCGATCAATGGAGACAGACCCAAAAACTGTCCCCACCGCCGACGAAGTTGTCTACCGGCGAGCCATTGGGCGACCCAGTTGCATATGTGAAAGACCTACAGAGGAGCATACCATGTATTATGCATGTACAGCAATAAGTAAATAAGTAGACACGCCCAGAAACAGCTAATGCCAGCAATGTTTTGTTTTTGTTTTTGCAGAAAATGAGAGAAAATTTGAAAAAAAAAAAGGTAAAGGACCCCTTTCCACGCCTTTCAGGCGCACTGGGTGTATAGGGCTAGACCTATATCTTATAGATCACACGGCACTTGGTGGGTGATGTGGTCAGCATCACACCGGTTGTCTTTACTTCCCAGGACTGCACCTGGTACACAGTTAAGGCTGGGTCCATCTGGAAGTTTTGGTCATTAAAAAAAAAAAAAAAATCGGCCCTCGTCAGGAACCGAACTCACGACCTTCAGATCCGCAGGCGAGCGTCTAGCCGCTAGATCACAACGGCTCCATGAAAGAAAACAATAGGCAGATAGAAACACAAATGAGACAGTCTTTCGAGAATCAAACAAAACCGACGAATGTATTGGATAAAGTAGACCGTGCAGGTTTTTCTGGTTCTTTTTGCATGTTTTGAGTAAAATATAAAACATAGTGGCGTTTGCAAACGTGATGGTAAAAGAACGAGAAGAAGACAAACTGGTCAATATCTTGATGGTAATATGCCCGAGGAATATTATGGAGATAAAATGAATGTATTCAAAAGGAGTGAAGAAATAAGAGAAATGTCTGGGTAACCACTAGTATCAACAGTTATAAGTAGAACTGATAGCGCTATATTGGACATATCCTGAGAAGAAACGTGCAGAGATTAGAGATTAGAGATTAGAATGGGAATTAAATGGATTAGGAGGCGAGAAACCCTAAAACAAATGTTGATGAGAGGTCAAGGTCAAGGCCATGTGTCTTTTCGAAATTATATGTACAGTGGGTAGTTCTGCAGAATGTGCTCAGGTGTCTGTGGTCCTGATTGACAGTCACACTATGGGGACTGAACTATCTTTATTTTATGCATGTGTAGTTGAGCCTGCAGCATTCTGCTTGAAGATGGAAAATTGTTGTATTTTATTTTCTGTTGAGTCTGCTGATGGAGTCTTTTAGATGTCTACTGTTGGTTTGTTCTCTCCACAATTCCTAGTATTTTTCTTTGATGAGTGTTTTGATTTCTGGTAATTACAATGAATGAGTGTGTTGTTTCTCCTTTCCTGATATGCCGCAGTGAGCCGGGGTCCACAAAAAAACGATTTGATTGTTTTCTGTGAGCCTTTTTAGCTGGCGGGTCAATTCTCTCTCCATGTTGTCTCGTGAATCCACTTAAGTCGCAAAGAAGACTGACATGCAGTCGCAAAGGAAAACAATTTTGCTGTGTTTTAATTTTTTCCCCTTAAGCATTTTTGTTGCATCAGTAATTGCTTGCTGTTCTGC